GTAGCTCTTGTTTTAACGTATATCACTGTATGAGGGCTGGTGCCGGCTCACAAACACACCTGACTTGTCTTTTTTCACCGGCCAGGTTGATAAATATTAGTTTATCATTTTGTTATGCAAGTTGCATTTTAAGTGTTCCAAGCATTTCTAAAAGCTTAAGATTTTAAGTTTTTTTTCATTCAAGTCATGGAGGTGTTTTCAGTGGCTTAAGTAACCTTGTTTCACAGCAGTGGGCTGCAATAAATCATCATTAATTAAATTTTACTTTTTACTTAATGAAACATAGGCTCTTCTGTTTATCATAGCTCCCTTTGTGCTTTTGAAAACAGTTTAACAACCTGCCATTTTTTTCTTTTAATTTACACAATCACAGTAATGTACTGCACTCATCCTGGTCAGATATAAAGAAAATTGAATTTCATGTGTTGACGAATGTCCTCTAATGAGATTTTTTTTTCTTTAATTGATGAGATTTCTTGTTGTCTCTCCTTTTAAAAAACAATACACAAGATTTTGTGAAAGGCCGTAAAGCCCCAGGCAGTTGAACTGAATTCATTATGCATTTCTCAAGTTTTTCATTGAAATTAAACTTTGCCCGAACCGTGTGTGTGTGTGTGTGTGTGTGTGTGCAGCATTTCCTGCTGCAGTTGTATGAACTGACTGAAATGCCTGAAATATTGCAGTCTTTTTGCTCATGCTGTTTGACGAATGAAAGCAGTGTAATTAGGGGGCAGTTGAAAGGACTGCAGGACATTTGACAGACAGCGTGCATTAAAGAGGTGGAGACACTGCTCATTTGGATGGATTGATAATAATGCTGTACCCCCCCACTCTTTCAGAAATCCATCTTTATTAATAAATATTCCATAATGTGCAGAACATCATTCAAGAGCAGGATGCAAAAGGTACGAGAAGCTGTGACAATGTACACTACAGCTGGCTGACAGGAAGTTCAACCTTTCAAACATTAGACTCACAAAGCAAACCAAACACATCAAACGAGACATGTACTGTATGACGGGACTGCTTTCTCCCACTGGGCTTACTGACGTACTTCATGAGATTTCATGAGGATAAATAGCCTCCACACCCACACAGGTGTTATCAGTTACGACTGATTAGACCTCACCTAAACGCAAGTAAGACTGTGCAGCAGCGGGGGAGCAAAAAGAGGTCCAATCAGGCAGAGTCAGTGAAAACACCTGTGTGGGTGGACTGAGTGCGTTTTGCTGCTGTATTTACATCATGTGGGAGTTACGGTAATTACCAGTTTCTGAATGTTACTGTTCACGTCAACGTCTAATTTGTACTGGGAAACTTTAATTCAATTCAATTCAATTCAATTTTATTGTTTAGCCAAATTCATAACAGAAGTATATCCGGACACTTTTCAATAAGCAGTTCTAGACAACCCTTATAACATTTACAGAGACCCACAGTACACCATGAGCAAGCACTTGGCGACGGCAAGGAAAAACTCCTTTTAACGGGCAGAACCTCGACAACCTTCGGTCTAGGTGGGTGGTCATGCCTTGACAGTTGGGGAAAAGAGAAGAGAGAGAGAGAGGAAGAGACAGAGAGAGGACAGAGAGAGACAGAGAGACAGAAGACAAACAGATGTACAACAACAGAAGCAACAACTACATTAACAGTAATGATCGATGACGATCATGAAAAAGACGGTGACGACGGCGACAGCAGAAAAAGCTCAAATGTATACAACTTGGCCCCGAATAATGTGCAGGTGCCTGAAAAAGCCAACAAACATGGAGGCCTAACATCAGTCAGTCTGTCGTTCAAGGCAATTAAAATCCAGTATCACTAAGAATGACTTACAATTACACATTAAGTCCAGTGAACTTTCAGTTCAAATGAAGAAAGTAGTGTACTATACTACGTAGCAAGGCAGACAGTAGGGCCCCACATGGGATCAGTATCTGGGTGCATTAACTGGATAATGACATCTGATCCACAGGACTTGGCATACAACTGGTGTTAATAAGCAGTGTTGTAGTTTCAGTTCTGCCAACATTGTGATCTCAATATGCAAATTAGTTAGACAACAAACATGGCACATCCTTGAGTCAAGAAAAGCAATGCCATGTTTCATTCCTTTACATTTATATATTTTATTCCAGCTTATAGTTACGAGAACCCATTGTCACTTTTAGCTAGCAGCAACAGGCAGAGTCAGGTGACCTTTTTTTTTTAAGGATATGGTTAACTTGTACAGACTGTATTTTAACCGGCACTAACAAGCATTTTGCCTATCTAGATATCCAGGATATTGAGAACAGGGACCACTGTCACAGGCCTACAATTAACATTATTGTTTTTATTGTCTGTAACCATAATCATAATCTCTGCCTAAACGTAACCATTACTGTAGCTGCAATGTGCAGGGTTAGGGTTTGTTGATAGAGTTGCACAATTCTGACAACACACAGCATTTTCAATGCAGTGACTAACTCTGCAATCATAATGTCGCTCAACATTAGTTATTCAACCAGCGTTCAAATAACAATCTTTATCAGTAGCCATTTAGAGTGTTTGTGTAGCAAATAATTAGTTAACTAGGTTATATTAACACTAATGTTCATGGGCAGCTAGCATATGTTTGGGAAACGCTGTTTCAGTCTGATTGATGCACATCTGGTATTTACCTGTCTGTTAATGGATTAATCTACCAGCAGTAGATGTGAGCAAACAGTGTGCAAGAGTTGTGCTTTCCTCCAGCGCACCTGTCATATTTAGGTGTGCAGAGACTTTTAAAGCAAAATCTGTAACCACATCGATCATAAATGAGCATATCTGCACATCTGTTTCCAACACGCAACAAAACACGGCAGATGTGGGCAGAACAACTCTTCTGCCGGCTGAAGAACAAACTGTCTGATGACGTTTCTGTTCTCAAAGGCCTCAAGTGGACATATGAGTCATGACAGAAACATCTGGTGGACCTCATATTTGGGATTTAAAAGTCAGAAAGTAAGATCGTAAGACAACTAGAACTTCCCTTAAAGGGCACATTAAAAGTGGCCGTTGCTGTCTCGAGTTGTCCGATAACGTGAACACTTGCAGAAACACGGGAATCCCACATCAGTACCTTCCATCCCACATGATGTGAATGAGGCATTAACTCTTGTTTGCTTAGATGGGCTACACCATGTGCCTGAGGGACACATAGCTGATAAGATGTTAGTATAATCTTTTTAAGTTTCCCAAACGTAAAGAATGGCTTTCAGGGGTTCAGAATTTCTTGGGACTTTGTTCTTTTTTTTGTTAAAATGATTAAATAACATAATTAACATCCAAATGATCACAAACCATGCCCCCGTATTTAAAGTTCCACTGGGGATCTTTGCCCCAGGTGTCAGCAAGTTTTAATTAGATTTTTTTTCAGGGACTTTGTTACCCAGAAATCACATTGCCTATCATTAAGTAGGATAGGCTTCTCAAAGAACAAACAGTATCAAAATGCTGAGTTTAAAAGAGTTACATTCACACAGTGCAATGCTTACAAAGATAGCCTTTATCAATCTTCTTTTGCATGACATTCATGGTGTCTCTATACAAATACATGTGTTGAATTAGGACATGATACTCAGCATCATGTCAGTCAACATTAAATATGAAATCACTCAACAAACCAACACTGTGAGTGTTGTATATGGTCTTCAGTGTTACGTATACTCTCAACCACTTACAGTCACATACAGTAGATGTCTTATGATACACTGAGTAACATGGTGACATCCTGTTTGTAATATATTTGGTAACACTTGTCTTAAGGCATACAGTTGTGTTGGATTATGATGTTTGATATTTGTATGGCAGCTATCAGGACATTTTTCAGGTTGCATTGTTTTTTATATTTTCTTCAGCGTTTCTTTGCCTTGCCTTGATGTTTGACAGGATCTTTTAAAATCAGCCAGGCAACATCAGGAGAAAAAGTTACTTGATTCATTCAATAGTGGATGGACAAGAAAAAAATATTTATTTTCTTTTTAAAAAAGCAGAAAAAAGATGTTAAAATACTTAGTTCCAGCTCCTTAAATTTAAATATGTATTGCCTTATATTGTTGTGAATTAAATATCTTTTGGGGTTTTGAATTGTTTGAGACAAAAAAAGACATCTGAACACAACACTTATTTCAGAAAATAATCAGCAGATTGTGAATGGAACTGATGTTTAGTTGCAGCTCTGCCAAAACTGTCATGTAAAACAAAGATGGAATATCTTAGACTGGATGAAGCTTTTACAGTGTTTGTTTATGCCTTACTATTATATTCCCAAAAAAATGTGTAATCTGTCTGTATAAAAATCTGTATTAGGAGGATATTGTGTCTTAAAGAAGTGTTTAAGTGTTTCTTTCTCAGCACAATACACTGCTGCTTTCTCATCCAACCTCTTCTCCAAACAAACTAACCCTTTTTCCAAAATGTAGATTTTCTGGTTGAAGCACTTGACAATCATGATGTTTTGGAAATGAAATTGAAGGGTATAATTAAAACTAATTCTCTAACCTTTGCTGTGATACAAGCAAGATCTTCTGCAACCCATCAGAAATGTGGTGTTCAACAAGGTTCAATCCTTGGTCCTCTGTCATTTTCAATCTACATGCATGGAAACAGAGATCTGAGAGACAAAATGTCTGCTTTTATGCAAATGATGCTCAGTTGTATCTATTAAACCGGAGCATGGAGAATCCAGGACCCTAAACTGCCTTGATGTTGCCTAAATTGACCAAATTTGGCAAAAATGTATTTTCTTGTTTCGCTTCCCCAACTCTATCTGACAGATTCTGGACAACAACTTTAAGCATTAATCTAAATAAGAATTTGGTCCAGACCTGTGCTTAGTAATATCTTTTAAGGCACAGTGGGGTCTGGCTCCGAGTTGATGTATATTTGCATGCATGTTTGGTTTTTTATTGTATTAATAAAAGATGATTGTTTGTTATTATCATTGTCATTTTCTAATTAACATTATTTTTATATGGAGGACTGACTTACTTAAAGACAGCACTAAAGTTACGACACTTATCAAAAATCTTAAAAATTATTATTATACAGATAGTGAAGAAGTTATAATCATTAGTGTGAAAATGTGATTACTCAAAATAAACTTAATTATTGTGTATGCCTTAAGTCAAGTGTCACCAGATTGTTTTGTCTTGTGGCCACAATTAAATACAACATATTAAAGACAAATATATCACGCTGCACAAAGCAAGCTTTTCTTTTTTTTTCTAGTTATCTCTTGACAAACTTTACATCAGATTCTACAAGAAATTGACACATTGACAGCTATTTACCAACAGCAATGAGAAAAAGGCAAAAACACTGAGAATATCATGCAACTGCTGTGTAACACTTACTGCATGAATAAAACCAACATTATTCCCATTAATAAGCAAAGTATTATTTCCTTTTAGGTTCCTGTATCCACCTGGCCCTTCTGCTTTAACTAGTGACTTTTAAGAGATGCTTCTGCTGGAGTGAGTGGAAGTATGTTGACTATAAATTTGCTTTTATTCTACAACATATACCAGTTTTTAAGGACCAGTGTGTAGGACTCAGTGGCATCTAGCAGTGTAGCATGCTCCTCTCCTCTTCCAAGCGCAGAGGATAAACTACAGTAGCTGCAAAAGTCTAGTGCCAGTGTTTGGTTTGTCGCTTCTGGGCTACTGTAGAAACACGGAGGTTGATGTTGACAGCCGCCATGGAAGGTGGCCCACGGCATCTATAGATATAAAAGGCTCATTGTAAGGTAACGAAAATATAACGATTCTTATTTTTAGGTGATAACACACTCATAAAAACTGATATCTGTTGGGCAGGTTTTAAGATATTCATCTAACCAACAGACAAACAAACTGGACTAAAAACATAAACCTCCTTGGTGTAAGAAATAAAGATGCAGTTTCTCGCCACCAACCCACTCACTTCTTTTTCATATGTTAAACTTGTTGGTTTTTTAAATGTAATTTTGAACATTGTCATTATTCAATGACATTCCCACATGCAAATCTGCTCAACACACCGTTCTCATACAGCAAATGCTATAGAGCGTTGTTGGAGAACAATAACAATATCAATGTAACCTTCCAAAATCTGGATTGCAAACCCTCACGTTTCATTTACTTCAATGCCTTCTAGCAATATTTGTTTTCAGTTCAAGTCTTTAAGATTTGGCCTACTAAACAAAAATTTGAGTATTTGCATTTCTTCAGATCAAAAACATTCCCTAGTGGTTATATGGTTTTTATTTTCCCTGTGGGATGGGGAAGAGAGGATTTTCAACAGAAAACAGTATTTTGGGTGGGAGTGATCAAAATGGCTACATGAGCAGGTAGGAGTGGATGGAAATCCTGCATTAGCTGGGTGTGGGTTTGAGCAAACAGCTCTGTGCAAACCTTCTGTTCAAGACTTTGATTAGATTAATTTGTTTCATTATTTTGTGTGCAGTGTTCCTAAAAGATCAGCAGCATTGTGGGATGTGATCCCTTACTGGCTTCCCACTGAGACCTCAGTCCTGTTCATATTTCACAAATCTGTGAAATACATCCTGCCCTCTTCCAGCCTGAGACTCCTGTATGTGTGCAAATGACAGCTGTAGTGGTTGTATTGAGCTTGTCATCAAATCAAGTGTAAAGTGGTTATGCCACCAATCTCAACAGAAGTGCCTGGTGGACACACTCTTAAGTTTCCCTTTTAATTACATGACCTCTTCAGTCTGAACACCTTCATTGTTACATTATAAAACGCAGTGTCAGTGCCATCGTAGCACAAATAAAGGGTTTGGAGCATGCACAGCACTGCTCGATGACAGCAGTTCATCAAATGTACATTAAAAATGATGCCAGAACAGTTTGGGTTCTGAATCAGTACAAAACAACCCTGTTTTACCAGTGTTTTCACCAGTAGCAACCAGGGCTCATGTGCTGACCTGGGTCAAAATGCAGTTAAGAATCATTCTTAGCAGGGATTTTAACAAGCTTCAAGTATCAGATGGGTGGGTGTGGCCACTATGAACCACAGAATACATCACTTAAGTAACAAATTGTCACAGTTTTGCTGCGCACTTGGAGGAAAAAAATGCTTTTGAACTGGAATGAAAACTTCGACCTTCACATAAGGTCTGAAAACTAAGCAGACCCGCTTTTCTGCTGCTTGGTTGAGTGAAACATCAATGGGTGGACCCAAAGAAACAGTCTTTAAAAGTACAAGTTATACCCTTTATCTTTTTGCCTCAACAAGTCCTTCAAATTAAACAAAAAAAGTTCTTTCTTGGCTCAAAACGACAACATAACACAAAAACACGGAATAAAAATGGTTCTCTGTTGGCAGAAAACACAAGCACACCTTCACAGCTTGGGTCAGAACGGCTGAAGGCTCACAGAGATTTGTAAAGCTAAAACCAAAATCTGCTCTGAAACAATGTGCAGGTCCCACCCACGTGGTACTTCACCTCAACTCTGTGTTTACATCATTTTGTAAAATTATTCGACCCAGGTCAACCTGGAGACTGTATTCGTTTTTTTTTTTTTAAGACCTGTAAGGTCCTCACAGCACTGTGGTCTCTGACTGCAGGATGGACTGGGTTCGGGAGTTGCGGTGAAACTGCACCATGTGGTCTGAACCATTCCTGGAGGCAAAGGTGTTGTTGAAGTGGTGATCTCTGCTCAGGCGGCAGTCCAGACACATACTCCTCCACTTTCTCTTAAGCTCGCCTTGAACCTGAAAAATTAGATGATTTTTTTTTAAAAATTATTTAAATGTTACAAACAGATATAATCAAACCTGGGCCCAGATTAGGTGACTATAGAGTCAATAATTCTGGCTGTGACTTGGCCAAGATACATATCAGACAACACACCTAACTCCAACCAATCATAGCTGGTGACTTTCACGACATGCATGACGTACGACAAGGTGCTGCTCCACCTGACAACATCATTATCCCTCTTTCACTTTCCCTGTTTTACAGTGTGCAAAAGAAAGATGAAGATGTGTAAACGAAAGCCATTTTGCTTTTTTCAGAACATGCTGCTCCCATTATATAATAACAAAATCTAATGACGAAATTAGGACACTTACAAATTTTAGCTCCAACCACAGAAATTACCAATATAATTTACTGCTTATTTGCTGCTTAAATGTTTCCACTTAAGACCACATTGAAATTAAGCTGTGTATTTTAAATGAGAAAGAATGCTTTAAAACGCATGTTATCAGCTGAGTGCAGACATATTTATAGGGATATTTAATTATATATTTATAATTGTATATCTTTAATTATATTTTATATATTATTTTAAAATACTGAAAAGGAATTTATGTTTTATGTAAATTATATTAATGGGAAGTAACACATTTCACTCACTTCTCACTAATATTACTAAACACTTTGTACTTTACTGTGTCATTTCATAGAATGAAAGCTTACCTCACTGTTTAGGAAACAGTACAGGATGGCCACCACCAGACCCTGAAAAAAAGCAACAGTAATCTTAACAAAAATGACAAACATCAGAATAATTCAACATCAACGACATAGTAGTAGATGTGTGGGTGGAGGGACTAATAATACGGCACCTGAAAGGATCCGAGGGCAAGGTCGAAGAATATTTTATAATCTTCTGCAATGGATTCACTGAGAGTAATGAAGACCACATAGTGGATCCCAAACAGTGGGATCAGCAGGAGAGTGGATTTGGCCAACCTCCTAAAGAGAAAAACAGTAATGAACAGATATTTGTTGTTAACCTGTAACAGATCTAGTGTTTTGTATTTGTGTTGTATATGAAAGTATATATTTTTGATTTACTGTATAGGGTCAGTTGGCCCAACGTTAGTGTCATTTGGGTTTTATAATCTGTATACATGACACTTTAAATGTGGTTTGCCTGAAAGTCTTAACTGAAAGTCCACTTACTCGCTATATTCTAAGTATTTATCAGTCAAAAAAGGAGGAGATTGAAATTAGAAAAACTGAACAGCAATGTGTGTTTTCAGAGACAATGGGTATCGTAAAACAACATTCATCAGTAATTTCTCATTTCCTATACCTATCCTGTCTCCAGTCGTGGTTTTAGGTCCTGTTTTCTGTGGGTGTTCCAGTTACAACAGGACCAGAGGATTATTAGGGCAGCTCCAAAATGCAGTCAGCTAAAACAGGCACAAATAGTGATAGAACACCAGCGCTGGCATTAGCATGGTGCTCCTCGATTGTCAAACAGCCTTGGTCGAACAGAGCAGTAATACTAATAAAAAACTAATAAAAAATGTTCACACACTCTTCCTGACTCAACAAACACGTTTCTCCAGTGATGATTATGATGCATCGCATAATCAGAACTCATAGAATCCATGTGGATATGAGACATATTGATGCACAAAACCCTTTGGAAGAGAATGGCACAGTATCTGGATTGGATCGGTCAGAATTTGGATACTAGAACCCAAGTGGACCCGTCAGGACCTCTAAAATCTCAGCAGTGGATATCTCAAAACGTGGGCAAATAAAACCAAATACATCTGCATGGCTGAAAAGCGGGAAAATGTTACATTTCCATTACAAATTATGTAAAAAAAAAGCTACTCATGTGGCGTCATATTACCCCTCCAACTACTATAAAAGACGATCAAATCCTTCCTCACAGTATCACTCTCCAGCTGTCAAATCTGATCAGCCCTACACCGAACTAAACTACACTGTGCTGACACTGAATATTCCTGTACACTAACAGGAGATTCTTCTGTGGAATAAGACGAGCACGTCCAGGCTTTTCATCACCTCTCGCCTCAGAATCTCGGATCCCTGCAGGATACGAGAATACCTGACAACTCAGCACAGCTCAGATTTTCCTTAAAAATGCCCGAAGATTAAAAACACCGCCTCTGACTGGGCAAGACTCGAGCAGACACTGAATCGTGCAAGAATGTGCCGCTCCACGGAGGTTTCACGCCCCACTCTCCATTTCTCAAAGGCTGCCGCATGAAACGCTGTCTTGTTGCATGAGCGTTACCACCACTCTTATCTCTCCAGACAGCAAACACAGAGGGGATGAAAAATGTTCTGGGCGTCTCAGATTATCAGTTTTTTATATTTTAAGGCATTTGGCTGACTCCTTTTATCCCCAGTAGCTTACACTGACTGAGCAGGTGTAGTTTCTGCTTAATGACACATAAATGTTGACACAATCTGTCAACTTTTATTAAAAGTTGAAGCTGAAAAAACTGGTTTGTAGAACGTAACCAAGATAGGATTTTTTGTATCTGTGTAGCTTTTTTGCTGCTCAAAAATCATTTAATCTGTGGCCCTTTGTGAGATACCTGTATTGTGATTGGTTGTTGCCGCCCACGTCAGGACACCTCAGCTTCTGGACCAAGATCCGAATGATGCTGATGAACAGGATGAAGTTCACCTTGGGGACAGGGAGGAAATAACAGAAATATTAGAACACCCACAAGGGGAGATTTTATTTTGGCTTGTTTTTCTTCCACCCACAGTAAGCAATGAATGGAAAGTTAAGACAATAAGAGTCTCAGTGAGTGAGTGATCCATCCAGTGATGAGTGGATAGACTGACGTTAAGCCTTTCTCTGGCGCATCTTTGCTTCCCTTTCAGGCTTTACAAATGTGTGTGTTACAGTTGAGTGAAATTACCTTATATATGATTTTTGGGGCATTTGCTAATGAATCATATTGGCAAAAATTATATTTTGCCAGTTCGCTAAAAGGGGATTGTTCGATCGTATCTTAGCAATAAGCATAACAAGGCCATGGCATTGCTCTGTCAAGCTTTTTTGTCACATGCCAAAGTGGTGTGTAAGGGGGGCCGCAGTACGACAAAATGGTTCTTTGGAGAGGACATGACTTATCATTTTTCCCTCTTAAAAACCCAAAAACAACTAACTTAAGTCAGCAAGCTATCCTGTGTTATGTCACGCAGTTTACAAGGATATCAAAAGATTAAGCCTCCTGTAGCACAAATACTTTCTCCTCTCTTTCATACAGCTAATTGTTAGCTTACTAACAGCTGGCCTTCTTTGGTCTTTCTTCTGTCTATAAAGGACTGATTGTTAGCACCTCTGTCCTTGTTTACTGTTACAGCTGGAACGATTAAATCAATTAATCAATTAGTTGTCATCTATTAAATTAATAAGCCAACTATTTTATTAAGCAATTGATCAATTCATTTCCAAAATTCTCTGGATTTCATTCAGCTTCTCAAATGTGAATATCTTCTGGTTTCTTTAGTCCTTAGTAAACTGAATGTCTTTGGGTTATTTAATAATTATTAGTTGCAGCCCCAATACTTACATCATTCATTTTTCCATTTGGAAGCACCTAAACCGGCAAACATGTGAAACACCTGCAGACAAACAGGAGGTAATGAACCTCAACCTACCATAATGGAGAATCCAATTGGTCCATTGATCACCCAGTTGGGTATGGGGTTGTCGTTTGTCTCCCAGCATCTGAGGGAAAACATAAATAACCATAATGTAACTATTATAGTAAACTTATCTGTAAAACAAAGCAGCCTCAGAACAGTGCGGACGGCTCGAAGCAGAGCGAGAGCGAGGTCGCTAACATATTTTCAGCTGATCCAGACCTTAAGCCTTGATGTGAAAAACGAGTTTGCCAGTTTGAATCTGGCCAAGAGCTTCTTTTTCAATGTCTTAACTCAAGTCTCATATCCTTCAGGGCAAGTCTAAGCCACAAATCCATCCATTCATTTTAGGCCACTTATCCAGGCATCCTCAACCATGTCCTCCAGTCCTCCAGATCAGATTAGGTGGAGTAATCCCTCCCTGAATACTACAAAAATCACACTCAATTATCTCAAGGTCTAGCTTTTTCTGGAGCTTTCAACTGCATCTCAGGCAGTTTGGTCCAGAACAAGCGTTGAGGTATTTCGTCAAGCTACTATTTTCCCAGGTCAGGAGTAAAACTTCCAGGCTCGAGCTTCATTATCATTCTCCGCAGTCTCCTCACACTGTGGAGCGCTATCCTTGCTGTCCTTTATTATCAAGCTGCTGCTCTGTAATTGTTGTTGCAGAGTTGTTTCACAAAGTCTTTTTAAGAATACGCCCACTCAGTACAACTCGCTCAATAATGAGCTGCTGTGTCAGCTGTAATGATGTGCAACAGAAGCCGAACAGAACCGTGGCACCGGGGCTCATAATGATGACTACTCAATGCAAATCCCACCGGCTGACTAATTCAATTAAGTACTCTTTGACACGTGGGATATTTGTGTTATTATTCTGGAAACTGAGCCACATTCCCATATGGTTATTGTCTTCTGACAGAACCAAATCGATAAAATGTAATTTGCTGTAGACGTCTGCTGTCCTGTTGAATAGAAATGTGTGCTACTGCCTCATCTAATTTAAATTCCACGTGTCCTATCTCATAATAAAGGAGAAAATAATAAAGAGATTGAAAGAGTGTGTGACGTATGTTGATTTATCCCCTTAACACTTAGCAAATAACAGATGCATGCATATAATGTAATATACAAGTTAATGTATGAATAATAAAATCACTGTATGATGAATACGAATGTTTGGTTCATGATTGATTGGCGGCACTCACCCTGTGTCCTCCAGATAAATCCTCGTCATCACCCACGCAAAGACAAACACGGTCGGGATTCCTGCAAAATGCCACGAGGAAATCATTGATGTAATGAATGTAAAAGATTACCTATCTGTTTATTGATTAAATACTATATCAAAATTAAAATGTATCAACATAATTTGCACACTTATTACAACGGCATTAGATACAAGAAACTAGCATGTTGTTTCTAACAAAAAATTGACATTAAAGCTTGAATTCTCTCTTTCAACTTAAGTCTTGACTCTAACCCTAGTATCAAAATATAAAGATGATACAACAGAACTCCACAATAAGCTGATAGATACGTGAAATGCTTTAGCAAATACACTGTTTGTGTCCATCTGATGAATCCAATATTTAATCTCCTTCTAGCCCTGGTTTGGTCTTGGATAAAATATCCAGCTCTTTAGCTGCTCCACTTTCTCCACCGGATAAAAATTAGGAATTGTGCCTTTAAATGAAAACTTTATGCTAAAAGAGGCTGAGCTAAAAAAAAAAAAATCAGCCAAACTTCTAGCTTACCCCAGCCGATGAACATGTAGACGATAAAGTGTCTGTTCTCAGAGAAGATGACGACGAGCAGAGTGTGGAGGTACAGACCCTCCACCAGCAGCCAGAAGAAGTTGGCCATGATGAAGTACTGGAAAAACACCAGGCTGGCTTTACATCCCACCTAAAAACACATACAAAGGTCAAAGATGTTGACTAGGTTATGGACTTTGTATCTAAATATTAAAATGTTAAATGTCACAAAACTATCAGCAATTATGTGACAATGTTAGCAGTGACACAGAATTAACCTTTAAGTCATTTTCTCCTATCAGCCTATAGTGCACATGCTATTGTTCGTCCTTGCAGGGATGTACATGACCAGAGTGTTGATACAGACTCTTACATCCACAGAGACACTGAGGGTTAATCAGGCAATTATGTGGGTATATACCCCCCTCCCCTTTCCATTGGGGCAATCAGTGGGTTCACCAGGAGGATAAGCTTTAATTTGTAGATCACAATGTTACAATAAATGAGTAGATGGGAGTATAAAGGTCAGAGCGCCCGGACAGTATTCCTTCAATAATTATATTCTAATATGAGAGCAAATGAGGGCAAGTAGTGGAGGAAGAGTTAGCGAAATACCCAGGGTTCAGAGCATTAAAAGTTTTTATCATAGTAGTATCAAAGGCTGTTAAGTACTAAAAGTTGTCAGTGAGATTCTTTTTTGTGTTTTTCTTCATCTATATCATTTTTCTTGGGCCCTTTTTATGCCTTTGCTCGACAGTGACAGTAAAGAGATGACAGGAAACAAAGGACCCCGGCTGGATTCAAACCGTTTGCAGTTCATAGTTGCCATCTTAACCCCAAAGCCACAGGGCCGATCCATTCTCAGACTAGAAGAGTGCAGATCTCCACCAAGCGACAGATTACCTACTGTACTTTTGTGTAAGTTATAGTTCAGGTTTTCAATAAAACAGTCAATAAAATCTTTTTTCAAGGTTGTGAAACGACGCAACCGCAAGAGGTCCTTGAGCATATGATCATAAATGTCCACGAGAAATATGGGGTTGATTGGTTCGTCTAGTACGTGAGATCAGCTGTGGACAGATACACACAATATATCAGTCTCATAATGGAAGCATCACACTGGAACTCAGCGAGGACAGAGGTGGCGAACTCACCAGCGACGGCTGGTTGGAGCACTGCGAGGTTCGGTTGAAGAGGATATCGTCTTTCACCAACACGGCCACGGCTCTCAGGATGAAGGAGAAGAAGAGGTTGAGGTGGATGTAGTTCCTGGTGCAGTGGAGCTTCCTGCATAGATGTTACAGAGATACACAATGAACAGATTATAGAAAATTAACTACAACAGTTTAAGATTGAAAAGTTCCTTCTTTAGACTGAAGTTGGGTTATTTTTGTGCCAATATTAACTATTTCACACTTAAACATGTTTGTAGAGCTGTAAACTCAATCACTGGACAATTACGCTTTGAGTGGGAGTCATTTTCAGATGTACACCGTTTGATCAATCGTAGGGGTTTATGCTAGTTTTCGCTGATACTCTACTTAGTATTTTGGATCAGTGGTTCAGACTTGCACTTTTAACGGCTGTAGAAGCACCACCGGACTTGATCCCATGTAGTGACAGTCCCCCCCATAGACACATAAACATACAGGAGAGCTTCTCTGAACCGTTAGCTACGACACAGGTAGCACACGAATGTGCTTCTAGTGAATGTAAAAGCTCCAGCGGACTCTCTGTGTTTGCTGTGTTAGCTCCCAGTCTGAACCATTCAAGAGTAGAACCGTTTTAAAGACTCGAGTCTGGCATTGTGGTCATCGCCATGTATGTACCGATCAGCACAATATGACCAACTGGGCACCCTGGTGGTCATAATAAAGAAATATATATACATAAAAGTGAAAATATAATGAGTTTTCATTCAGGGATAAGAGCTATAAGAAGTGCTATATGAATAAAGATTGACTATGGATAGTTTTGATACCCAGGAGGAGAGGATTAACCATCATCAAACACATGTACAGTGATAATGTTAATTAATGGAGTCATTAAAAGAAAAAAGAAACCTCTTACTCAACCTCTAAAGTGTTTGATATAATGAGCCATAAAATAAAGTTTTTTCATGTCTCTGGATTCTGAAATCTTCTCACAAACGTGATTTATGCGTATTTACTACGTTCCAGCTCTGGTCAAACCTCCAGTGGCTTTTTAAAACTAATCCTAGCAGCAAAATGAAGAAAAAGGTGAAAAAAAGCTCCAATAAACATAATTTAAATTAACAAACAGAATAAAACTAAATCCAATTAATGCGTAAACTGAGCACGCACACAAACACATCCTTTCACAATTAATGATAAAGCTGTGAAATTGCCAGCGCTTGTTCATTTAAAACCAAATTAAACTGACAGTTTTTCCTCAGACTCTGCTGACGCGTCAATCAGCACATGAAGAAACAAACACCAGAAATAAAGACCTCCAAACTGAGCTTGAAATTACCACCACCCACTCTTCTGCTATCAGCCTTTTCTTTTTTCTTTTAAGGTTTTGTATCTTGAAGACAAGCACTACTGAGGTTTTATCTCGTGTGGTAATGTTGTAACATTTGGTCTTACCGGAACAGACAGAGGATGGCGCTCCCTGTGGTGAGGGCGATCAAAGATAGACTGTGACCCAGAGTGTACAACGTCTGCACGACCACGTAGAAGACCAGCTGCAGACACACAGAGAGAGAAGAGGAGCAGGGTTATTATTATATTCTAATTATCTGAATCATGACAGCAACTCGAGCTGTTGCAAGTTGGTGGTTCGCTCGAGCACTTTGGTCCAGAGGAAGATATCTCCGAACTTACAGAGCTTTGGATGTGGTGTAAAGTTAACGAATCAGCAGGGACTGAAGCTGTACTGTACGCTGGTCAGATAAAGAGGAGCACCCAGAGTGTTAGCAGCTGTCTTTTCATATTGAGCTGACTCTATTTCTTCAGATTAATATTGTTAGGTTAGCACATTCAGTACATTTATCTTTTCTATCCTTTTTTTATGCTGTACACTGTAAAAAAAAATGAATCTAAAGAAAGTAAAAAATCTTATTCTTTGTATAAAAAGACAAATAATCTTGTCAATTAGAAAAGAAATCTCGTTTGAGTAACATATATCTTTGTCTTAATAAGATTTACCAGCTAATATTGAGCTTGATTTAGTTACAACAATGTTTTCATAATATCCCAGAAGGGGAACAAGATCATTCTCCTTATTTTAAGAGTAGGACCATTCACACAACTTCTCAGTTTAAGAGAAAGTTGTCTGGTCCCAGTGATAGAAATGAAGCAGCTGTTTAGTTTTTCATTGTTTAAATACTTTTTTTTTTTTTAAAAAGATGTTTCTGATGCTTTCATTTAAGACAAAGTCAGGCATATTTTTACTATGTTTGAATAAATTGTGTCTTATTGTAAGATTAAAGTACATATTCTTAAATTTAGCTCAATAAAGTGACCAAAATACTTATTTTAAGAAAGTTTTTATTGCTTCTAATGAGCACAACTTTCTTATGTTTTTGCCATTTTTTGTAATTTTAAGGCCCATTACAGTCTTTCAGTGGATAGATTTTTATGCTGGTTTTATGAATTTTGGCTTTTGTAGTGCCATACAATTTGCACAAACATTCATGTTCCCCCATCATCATGTCCAAATTTGAATACTTTGGTTTCAGGGGGTGGCAAGAAATTGGCCATTATCCTTTCCTATTCCACTTCTCCTTCAGAGGCTGTAGTGGGCTCGGGTTTAAAGCTAGAGTGAAGTGAACTGGTATCATATGAAACTTCCAACCATGTCACGCTAGCATGTTGGGAAGAACGCTCCAAAGTTAGGCTAAAATTTGGCATTGGAAAAACTGGTGTGGCCCTTTTCAAAGGGATCCCTTGACCTCTGACCTCTGAAAATTGGATCTACGGGTACCCACACGTCTCCCCTTTGCAGACAAGCCCACAATCCCATGCAAACAAATTTTTTTGCATATGGTATACAGTAAATGTGTTATTTTTGCAGAGTGTATTTGAATATTTCCTAAAATAACAGACAAAAAAGTCTGCAAGCTTTAAACCTTTACATAAGATGTTGTTCAGCAGCACTAAAAGTCAACTGACAAAGAGAGTGAACTCAGACTCCAACCAGTCTGATAAACAGGATCCTCAGAAGTGGTTTACAGTTAAAACTTTGTTGTCCTCCCACTCTCTACCTCCAAACAAAAGATTCCTCCCCACAGCACCCATAACACCATGCAAACTGCTCAAATATATAAACCTTGGAGGCAACATTACACCGGAATGTAATCTGCTGTTAAACAATACAAGCAAGAGAGGGCTCTCCACACCCGCGCTGTTGATGTTTGCATGTGTTTCTGTTGTGCCTCATGATGTGTATAATTTTTTTTTAGTTTTCCCTCCACAGCAGAGTTATTATCCAGCTAATCCTACTAGTTCTTTCTGGAAGGACGCTGTAAAAAACGCGGCAACTCTGAAACCAAAAAAAATCTGAATCAAAGCTCTTGTTGGTCAGCATCGTTGTGTTTTTGTTGTTATTGTTATCGGTTACAGCTGCGGGTCTGGCGATATTTGCTGAATTCACTGCCAGGAAAGCTTACTGATTTGAGCTGAAGTAAACTGAGTGGAGAGAGAGAGAGAGACAGAGAGAGGACAGCACAATGGCCAATTCAGCAGTGCCATTCGTGCCCCAAAACGAGCCAAGCAAGTGAGCAGGAGGAAGCTGCAGTTACACAACAGCAATGAGCCAAAAACCAGGAGCGCACAGAGGTCGTCCACGTGAGGACAAAGACACGGAAACCTCTGAATGAAGACAGACACCGCAGCACTGATTCAAGGACCACAGACATCTCGTTATATGGATCTGGATTCAGTTCAATAATAAACAATATCTTTAAGCACTTTGCTTTGAATTGTTTTTTTACCATTATACCGCACATCTACGAGAATAATCCTTTGACAAACGTCTGCAGATGCAAACTCTTCATATAATGTGGCTGCATAATAAGGCATCACAATAAAACAGCACCTTTTTTCCAGGATTTGTTCTACTTTCGTCTGGTAAAATAATACGTTGAGGCAGCTCAGGAAGCAGAGAGGAATCATTGTGAAGGGAAATAATGACACAATGACATATCAGCAGAGGTAGTTTGTTTTGAATCATCTCTCATTACATACAGCCCATGTTAAGAATGCTAACAGGCTCATAATAACTCGCTGATGTGTTGTTGAAGTTGTTGGTAATGTTCTGCAGGTAAACCAAAGTATTGGGACAAATCTGATGAAGTTCGTCCAATGGTTGCCGAGACATTTCACTCAATAATGTGAACCTGCTGGTGGCCCTAAAGCAAACATCATTCTGTGGGGACCATGAATGTCAAATGTCAGTGAAATCTGTGTTCAATCTATGGTTCCCAAACCTTTTCCTTAAGGGATCCCTGTTCTATTACTGAGTAATCTAACAACCTCTGATTAATTATGACAGTTAACCCAAAGAGTGACTGCAGGAGGTTTGTGTAAGAGATACATTTTTCTGTTTTTTCTAGTTTTTTTTTTTACATATTCAGTGTTTACTTCCCCCTGAAATGTCGTCATTGTTCTTTTAGCTCTTTGATTGTTTTAATTATTTTTCCAAAGCAGGACGAGGCTGTTTTTGATGAAATTGAAGGCTCTGTGGATACAGCTTGTGTTCAGGTCTTCACCATTTTCTCTTTACTTTATGTCTTAAAAATAAAATAAACTTTAAAAATGTCTTCACAGAAATGAATGAAATGCTGAGATATATAGGCCTCCTACTGAGTATGGTTTTCATACACCCCTCAGAAGACCTTACAACACCCCATGAAGCTTTGGGAACCCCTGGTAGGTTGGGAACCACTGAAATAGACTGAAACTGCCAACCCAAGAGCTACTCCGCTTGCTCATTACTGTCCCAGGAAGTTAGATTACAACATGAAATAATAACAGACATCTGAAAGTCCTCCTCCACTCAGAAATCACTGTGTGCAGAGTTTGACTCTAGAAGGATGTTTTCACATTCATCTGCTGAAAGTGGAAAGTTTCTCTGTGCTCATTGAAAATCTGATTTTAAGGGGCGGGGCCTACCAGCATGATTTGTGACATCACA